ATATATATATATATATATATAAAAAGAAAGTCGTGTTAGTTACACTATTTATAACTCAAGAACGGCTTTACTGATATGGTTGAAAATTGATGAGTAGGTAGCTTAGAGCCAGGAGATGGACTTAGGATACTATTTTTTTTTTCGAATTTATCCCTTGAAGAGCCGGTTTTTATTTAACTTACTAATATTATAAATGCGAATGTTTAGATGGATGTGATGTGGGTGGATGGATGTGATGTGGGTGGATGGATGGGTGGGCTACACTATATAAGTTTTTTATATATCGTCGCGGGCGACTGCTAGTTAGTAAACTTAATTAGTAGCCTATGTGTTCTTCCAGGCTATGTTTTATATCTTTTTACGACAAATTTTAGCGAGATTCATGCAGCCCTTCCTAAGATCCATTCATCAACAAAAAACAAAGATTCATTCATCTAAACATTCGCATTTATGATATTAGTAACTTTATCTTTTAACAGTGGTAGAGCCCGCTTTAACATCTTCGCACGAATCGGCCCGGCTCGCCCGGTGAAATACCACGACCACACAGAAGACAGGCGTGAAGTGGAAGCAATTCCGCGTTTCGTCTGATCAGTGTGCGTCCCGGAGGCCTAATTTAGTCCTCTTTCCCTTCCCACCTTTTTTCTTAGAAAGAAAGGATGGGAAGTGGAAGTGGACTTTCCGGATGAGAGGATGCATGGGAAGGGAAAATATTTTCTTTCTGTGCATCCTCTCCTCCGTCGATTAAAGGTAGGCAACGCATATGCGATTGCGTATGTCTATGGGCAACGGTCACTTCGCTATTTCAGCGATTTCGGGTGGCCGATTGCGCGTTTGCCACCTTTTGATATAAAAAAAATTTAGTAAGATTCCAACTCTTAGAACAAAGTTTATAAGAAATACAACAGCACTTTGTTACTGCCATTTGAAGGGGGCTATTACACAGTTTTATATCTTTTACTGCAACTAATTCTAGTTACAATTTTCTATAGCCCCGTAACCAAAGACCTGTAAAAACTTATGTTAGCACTAACTACTTTGACAAAAGATTTCCCAAAACACGTGATCTGTAATGCGATGAAGCCAATGCAATGAGGCCATGCCACGCATTTTCGTCTTCAATTTACATACAGAGGAAAACCAACCTTAAAGCTATTGTCCTAAAGGTTATTTTCCACATTAACCTGTTACAATCTTTAAATCTTTTAATACAGTGAAAAATATACTTTACGTTTATGCAATAAGGTGTGGAATTGATTGTTGTGTTCCGTGCAAGTTATTTATTTCGCGTCATAATTATTTTTATTGAATTGACCAAGTTCAAGACGAAGTTCATTGTAAGGTTCGTGCTACTTTGAACAAGGACATTGAAAATGGTTGGGTTATAATTAAAAACTATACTTTGTATTTTATCCGATTAAGATGCTGTAAGTAGTTTATTATTTTATAATAGAAGCCAGATTATAAGACAAAAGCGTAGTCATATACGTCTACAAATATTGTCCAATAAAATCTTATTCAGACATTTGTCTATTGAGATCTTTTTTAACATCAACGGATCGACGGATTTAAAAGTGTAAAAAAAAAACATATATAAAATCGGCTCAGTCGTTTAAGCTTAGTAGTTTTAACTAATAACATTAGTCGTCTCGAATTGGTAGACTCGCCCGATGCAACAACGACCGTACGACAGACTTCAAGTGGAAGCAGTTTCGCGCGCTGATTAGTGCGTGCCAGAGGCTTAATTTTAGTCCACTTTCCCTAGGGAAGAAGGCGAAGTGAATTTGATGTAGGTGGGGATGCATAGGAAAGGGAAATATTCTCTTTCTGTTCGCCCCCTTTTTCGATTAAAGGTATGCAACGCATCTGCAATTGCGTATATCTATAGGCAGCGGTCGCTTTATTTCTTTTGCCACGTTTAGATATAAAAATAGGTCGTATCCGTGCAAAAACATTGCCCTACTGAATCAATCGGGTAGCTATATATTTTACTTTATCATGACATGTCGATAAAAGTGTACCACAGTTGTGTATACTTCGATATTAATTTCTATAAGTGGCCAGCTCGCATGGGACTTTGATAATGTAATTGACTATAAAATTCTCTATGTCCCTCAAGTGCTTATTGTATGTAAATTAATTTAATTAATTGACTGACTGCATGTAAATGTACAGTAAGCTGCATAAATATTTATACATTTTGTAAGCTACAAACATTCACATTCGATTTCAAAAATATGTATGCATATATCAGTGTGTATTATTTTGATTATGAAAGCATGCTATGAATGAATACGTGTATAATTTTGTAACAGAACATCTATATAATTTTGTTTAGGTTTATAAATGTACAAATATTTATGAAGCTGACTGTACCCACCATTCAATATTTTGACAATACATTTTAATTGGTCTTTGGCTCTACATATCTAAGTTAGAGGATATTTGGAGGATGGGCAGTGATCCTACCGTAGCAATGCTAAAGCATACTTCCAGGCAATTATTAAGACCTAGAACCATTATTAAAATACTTACTTTTTTATCAAACAAACCGATTTCTAAATTATGCTTTTTATACAAAGTATTTTGTAAAATTTCTTATGAATTAGTCATTGTTCTTTTTCTATAATGTAAAAGATTCGACCACTGATTTAAAAACATTCAAACATTCTTAAAATATAAATATTTATAAACGAATATAAAAAAGGTCTCATTCCAAATTGACTACTGATCGATTCGCAGCTGGGAAATACATATGAAATAAACATGATTGTACGCGTAGAGACAAAACGATTCGAAATAGAGTATCGACTTTGGCGAGACAATTGTCAAGCATGCCGTATAATAAGTCATTTCAAAAGCCGCTATGGATAAGTCGACTGACTGCATATGAATAACATTAGAATTCACAAGTTCACATTCGAACTCGTGTAGGATTAAACGGTCGAACTAGTGATGTACCTATTCCTAGAAAAGTATCGATAAAGATATAGTCAAGCTATCGCGTCTTAAAGATATTAATCGGAATTTTTTTAATTATCACTTATACCCTATCATGTTTTATATAGAGTCAAAACTATGTGATAATTTATTTATTGAAATAAATAGAAAATAGTGTCGCATTGACACCAAAAAACTGGCATTACTAATAAATTATGAACACAGTTTCAATTGTTTTAACTTTAGACCATGTCATAGTCAAGCAAAATTTAAAGGTTGATTCCTCCATCTATTCCTATGATTAAACTTATATAAAAATCGATATCTTACATCGATATCGATAAACTTCTAACTTATGATGTCACATCACTATAAGAAAATTGCTAATGCCGGTAATTGAGTTATGGTTAGGCGACCTGAATGTTCCATTACCGATTGACAAGCCGGACTTGGTTCACGTTTATCATATTTGAACGTTACATAGAAATATACAAATTTTTTGGTGCACAAAAATATTTTTCGGAACATATCATTCAAGATATGTAGTGTTGTCTATAAATCTTCAATCGGTAAGTCGATAATTATTTTAATATGTCGATAATTTTATATTTATCTTCAAAATGTTTTTTTTTATTTAATTGCAAAACTGATACATCTAAAAATCATTTTTATATTTGTCGTAGTAATTGTTGTCCTTGAAAACAATTTTACGATCAAGTTGTGACGGTGAAAAGATTACGTTCTTTGTAAGGTTTCACGACAAACTCGCTGTACTAGGGATGTACTAAAAATGTATGTACAAATACGTTGTATACGTTATGTACTTTAATTTTATTCTGCTTTAACTTATAAATGCAACAAAATGTTAGAAATATCGTCGCGACTCTGTTTGCGCGAAATAAAAAAAACTTAATTAGTAGACTATGTGTTCTTCCAGACTACGCTCTACATCTATGCCTTTCAACGAGAACCGTTAACCCTTTCTGAAGATACCTTCTAACAAACTTCTATCCATCCATCCAAACATTTGGATTATTTAATTAAATTTTTGCGTTTCTGTATGTAATATAAAAAAATCATATTTTGTACACAGGGTGTTTTTTCGTTACTTATAACGAAAAAAAATTAAAATTTTTGTCTGTGTGTCCGCAAGTCCGCATGTGTTACGGGTAATCTTTTAAATGACTGAGCCGATTTGAATTGGACGTTAACGGGAAGGTAGGTAATGAATACGGGATTATTATGGATGATGTTTTGTTTTTTTTAATTCACGCTACAAAGACGCGGTCAACCGCTAGTGTGTCACTACAATCGGATTCTACGGTTAGTCTACTACGAATTGCCCTCGAATTTGAATTGAATTAGACCCAAGATTGTTGTAAATACTACTTAATAAATGGATATCAAAGTTATATGGATTGAATTATCGTTAGAGAATGTATAATGCTTCAGTGAGTCGATCAGTTAGTGCGCTCCGTCGGATGGAAAATTTGCACCAGTCTGATGCACAGATTAATACTTAATTTCAAAACCTGGGAATCAATTGCAATAACATTATGGAAGTTCCCTTCACGGCTTTTAATAAGGAAGTTGTTTTTGGAGTGTTGTTTCAACCTGTCAAATTTGATAGTATTATAAAGAGGGTAAGGGACATGAACTCTTCGTCGTATGATTCGACCAGTTCAGACGTACTGTGGGGTCGTATAGTGAGCTGATGATGACCTCACATAAATAACCTAAAATTGATTATGCGATTTTCTTAATACTTATCGCTATTATTTCTATATGTAGCTTTCAAATCTTCAAACTGAGTAATTTTCGGTCTTGACAGTTGAATAAAGCGAAGCCCGAGCTATTACAGTGACTTTAAATTACACAATGGAATTGTGTACTTGCAGTTAATTCATTAATATCTTGTTAGTTAAATGTTGGCTCGTTCTCACGTAACAATGCAACTATGTTTAATTATTCTGTAATAATTAGCTGTCGCCTGCGACTCCGTCCGCGCGGGATTAAAGATAGATGTTAGCCGATTCTCAGACCTACTCAATATGCTCACAAAATTTCATGGGAATCGGTCAAGCCGTTTCGGAGGAGTATGGGAACGGAAATTGTGACACGAGAATTTTATATATAAGATACTCAGAATGGATAGTTACAAATTATGGAAACTCTATTAAATAATTTCGTTTAAAACGACATTCGAATATTTGTAAGAAAGTCCGCTCTTTAAATTAAATCAATTTGTTCACAAAATAGTTTAAAAATAAACAGGTTCCATCCACACCACCTGGATGGCTGGCATTCCACAACGGTGCGATTCTCGCGCAACTTCTTCCCTCGCACAGCCGCGTTGTGGATCGGTCTGTCCTCGGCGGTATTTCCAAACCAATACGACATGGGGACCTTCAAGAAGCGAGCATACCATTTCCTTAAAGGCCGGCAACACATCTGCGGTTTCTCTGGTGTTGCAGATGTCCATGGGTGTCGTTGATCACCCCGGTGTTCCAGCCGCTCGTTTGACCCCTTCTCTTATAAAAAAACACATTTTAGTAAAGTTGTACTATATCCATTTAATACATCTAAAAATAAGGAATATGATGAGGAAGGATGATGGTGATGATATGTGCAAAAAGTAATGAGATTGAATGTCGATGGCTGCAAAGGTAGAGGAATTCCAAAAAAGTATGGAATGACTGTGTGAAAGAGGATATGCGCAAGAATGGGGTAGATTCAGATATGAAGACTGATAGATATGTATGGAGTACTGTGCCGACCCTCCATAGAGTTAAGCTTGATGATGAAATAAGGTATATTATATACTGCAAAATCTCTATTAACATTTAGCATAAGAAATATGTGCAAAAAAGAGGACGGATAAAGAGATGTCGTTTCTTGTATAAATAAAATAATATCTGGATGACTGATGATGATGAGCTTTGCTCGGTATTTTTTTTTAATTGTCATTTTCGGAAATTATATTTAAGTACGAATAACTAATAAAATGATGAAATATGAATAATATTTTTCGATCTTACCGATAGAAAAAGTAAAGTTTATGTTTAAGTTGATTATCGATAAAACACGAAAAAAATGACATTTTCTGAAAATGATTCCTAGCTAGATCGATTTATCGCCACCGAAACTCCCTATATACTAAATTTTATGAAAATCGTTGGAGCCGATTCCGAGATTCCAATTATATATATATAAGAATTGCTCATTTAAAGATATAAGATACATCTTTGTATATAATAACTTGTTTTTAAAATGATAAAATATTACAAAAGAATACTTTTAACTACTTCTATTGTTATAAAACGGTTTATTGTTAACATTTATGTTGTTAACTGTACATAGTATATATTTCAGTATGTATGAGACGTGCTCGACCGGCCGTATAGCTGTATTAAGTGATTGAAATGTAGGCATCCTGTAATATCGCGCGCAAAAGTGATATAGTAATTTTTTTAGTCACTTTTATAGCAAATTTTATGAATACGCACTTAGGAAGATAGAATTTTTTATATTACTTAGTTACTCTTAATAAGTACAAGTTAATTTAATAAACTTGCTTTTGAATATATTAATAATACTAATACTAATATATAAATGCGAAAGTTTATATGTATGGACGGATCTATGGATGGATATTAGAAGGTATCCCCGGAACGTCACAACGGATCTTAATGAAATATGGTACAGGACATAGTATGAAACATCACATAGGTTACTAATATAGTTTAAATTCCTCTCGGGAGGAGTTGCGGGCGACAGATAGTTAAAGTAAAAAATATTTTTTTATTTTATCGAAGAAACCAATAAAATCATCAAGCGCATCGCATCATATCCGCGCCGGACGAACCGCACTCAGGGCCCTCAACGGATTTTAGCTTGCTTTGTATGATTTTTCATAGAGCTGCGTCATTTAAAAGACGGCATTCAACAAGCAATCCGTTGCGTGTCGTGTGTGCGGTGCGTCCAGCGCGGATCAATGGAAAAGCACATTTGAGATGTAATTTTAAAATTATGTAAATTATTATTAGCATTTTTCTCTTGCTTGTACCTCACGCTAGAATGGTCGGACGAGTAGATTGGATAAAGTTAGTGTTTTCAAATTGAGTTTCATTTTGAATATGTGGGTAGGCAGCAATAAATGCTATTCGTTTCAATAACTGTCCAGCTGTGGACATGCGTTGGTGTTTGTCTGGATTACGAGACTTCACTCGTGGGAAGTCAAGGTAAAGTGGACTCCTACTAGCAGTAGAAGATCCTCCTACTAGTAGAAGAACTCCTAGTGGTATTTATATTCCAAAATTTTCCGTGGTTCTATATTTAAATTCATATGATTTGGGATATTTATCCTTTGATTTTTGTTAATCGGATTACTAGTTTGATGCTAATTTTTGTACTAAACTTTTCAACTACTTCCGATCTTCCTCGTTTCTATTTTATTTAATTTCAATGTTAAATATATCATTGTTTACATTAGAATCATTTTTATACTGTCACTAACGTGTGCTTAATTTTAATGAAATATACGTGTTAAGGACTAAACTCGTCTGTACTTGACAATTTTGTAATTATCACCGAGCGTATCACCATCGCAAAGACCGGCAACGCATCTGCGGTTGCTCTGGTATTGCTGATGTCCATGGGCATCGTTGAACATCTCGGTGTTCTCGCTGCTCGTTTGCCCTTTTCTGTTATAAAAAAAAATACAATTTAATATATAGGTCATTCGTAGATTAATTATAACATATTAGTTCTTTAAGACATTATTAGTTAGAATCCTTTGGCTCGAATGTCGCGATTTTGTTACAAAGTGTCAGAATTATTAGCAAGGGCACATAAACGTGGACATGTTAACAAGACTAATGTTGCGCCAGTACACCGGCACAGTGTCGGATTTTCGTCCTAACAATACTGATATACTTTGATGTTCTGCAGTCACGTGAGTCCAAACATGACGGTGACTGTGTCTCCCGACCGACATACAGTGGGTGCCCAGCGCTGGGGCCCGTCGCGATCTGTCACGCTCAAACGAAGCCCCGGAGCACCACTCGGAGTCAGCATCGTAGGCGGTAAAGTAAGTAATTTTACTAGTATCATCACATACTAAACTTTCGTATGACTTTTTAATTATTAATATACTTAGAAAAATGTAAGTACAACTAAGTTACAATTGCAATACTTTCGTGACATAACATAACTACTCTGACTGAAAAATAACTAAAAGATAATAAATTCGACTATATAGTATATTTGTCAATAAGTTGCGGTACAATAATTCATTAAGAAACTTGGCCGGATTTATTACCGGGGTTAATTTGTTGCAAAGTAAATTTTCATATCTCATGGGATAAAGTAATTTTCTGTATAACTTTAATATCGAAGGAACGTGTAATTTAGCTCATAGCAGGAGAAAGTTTTTATTTATTGATGCAAGAAATTAACAAGGCAAATAAATCTCTTAAAACACGAATTTTAAATGAAGTCCATAAATCTTTTGAAAGCAATGACTGATTGCCTTAGTTACCATACCAAAGCTCTCCCTTATTGAAGATTTCTTCTGCTAATATACGACTGTGAGTGCCGTGACAGTAAGATATTAAATTTAATTATAATTTTGTTCAATAGGTTGACATAATATCGAATCAGAATACAGCCAATGGCTCTGAAAAGGCGATATTTGGGATATTCATCAAGAATGTGGTCCCTGATAGTCCGGCGGGACTCTGTGGTGAACTACACGTGAGTTTAATTATATTACTAACTGTCACTCGCGACACCTATGTAGCTTATGTGTTCCAGACTATGTTCTACATCTATGCCAAATTGCAGTAAGATCCACAAACATTCATCCAATCTAGAGATTACTCTGTGGTGCCCATTCTTTAACTCTTGCTCAGTAATTATTGTAACTTTCAAAGAGTATGACAGGAAAGAATCGAAAAGATATTTATGGTCCTGTAGAGGTGTTTAGTCAGGTTAACCTTACGGTTAGAGGAAGTAAAATATTACGTTTTTCAGACCGGTGACAGGATTTTGGAAGTGGACGGTGTCTGTGTGAGAACAGCGCAGCACGAGAGAGCTGTGCAGCTGATTAAGGCTGCGGGCAACACTGTCACACTTACTGTCCAAAGCTTGATAGCCTGGGTAAGTTGAACAGGGTCTTAAAGTGAATCAATTGGTATTTTAAGAGCTGGAACACAGACCGCTTGATCTCATTGAAGAAAAAGTGTCCTGTACGTAATACATCTATTATTAGTCAAGAAGTTACAGATTGTGTTAACTACCTTTGATCGATAGGGTACATAAATGTAAGCTGCAAATAATTTAACAGTCGTGTTTAGAACAGACATGTAAAAAAGAAGACGAGGAAAGGTTTAAATTCCTTTCTACTGTTCATCGCTCTTTTAAAACATTCCATGATCAAAACTCTTTTAACTTAAATATTAGTAAGACATAATGAAATATTCAATAAAATATGTTATTCCTCTGTCCAGAATACTGATTCATCCGATGTTGATGTAACATCACCAACTCCTTCGAGGACCCTATCATACAAGAAAGGTCCAGCACCGCCACCGCCAACAGCAGTCAATCAAGTTCCTAAACATGATATAAAGGTAAGAGATGATCCTGTAACATCAGTAAAATATATAAAGGCGTCTCAGACAATCGCTTTGAAATATGAGGTATGCAAAAATTTCAAAGCAATACTAGAAAAATGAATGGTGACTACAATATTATAAGCTAATTAGGAATGATTCACTTATAATCTGCTGTCAAAAAAGGTTGTCAAATTTTAACCTTAGTGATTTTGGTCCTAAAGAGATTACATCTCCCTAATCTAGTCCCAAGAAACGGGAATTGGTAGAGCTGATTTTCTAACTAGAGTAGTTTTATAGCAGTTTATTTAACAGTTAAAATTATCGCTTCACCAGATAACAGTCACATCAGAAGCTGGCACAGAAAAAGAAGGAGAGATAGACGCAGAAAAGGAAACAAAGGAGAAAGGATCATCTGAAACTGAATCTTCTAAGCCGGTCTACTCTGACTCTGAGAGCAGTGATGAAGAAGACGAAAGAGAATTGAGTGGAAGAACATATTCTGAGAAAGGTGTTGAGGTAAATAAAGAGAAATCTAATTAGGGTAGGCTCCGAGCCCCTCAAGGGCGACATATAGTGAGCTGATGATGGTGAAGTAAATAACAATCTATTTTCTTCGTTCTTTCTTTAGATTGATCGAGCATCTGCTGGAGCAATCAAGCGCACTAAAGAAGAGAAGGAGGCGGATCCAGAAGAAGAAGATGACTTCGGCTACACAACAAGTGAGTGGAAAGATACATTATTCACATTCTTTAACTTCTCCTTCTATTTGATACATGTTTACTTCTACTCTTATCTTCTAGAACATAATAGATGATTTGTTTTTTTAATGCGTAGTGTCTTAGGAACTTGTATATTTATAAGAACATCGTCGTCACTTCTTAAACTTTCCCAGCGAGAGGCTCGGAGTTTTACCAAGTTAACGTAGCTAGGTCGTAGTCATAGTAAGGGACATTTCTGTTTAAAATTATTATACGTGATATTCAATATTTTCAAGGTCAAATTTCATTCGATTTTTTGTTTAAATTTTGATTTTCGAATTTTTAATTTGATGTGAAACAAAATCAATGGAAACTAACTTTAAAACAAACGCGAGACGCTTTGTTTTTCAATAATTAAATATATTTTCAATCGAAATTCAAAACGTATTGCTTCTGAGTATTTAACAATTTCTTAAAATCAGTTTGGCGCTCAAATATAATAACAGATTGTCTGTGACTTTGACCCACCTATATTAACAGTGTCTGGATTTTAAGGTTAAAGTAAACAATTTCAGTAAGGCTGGCCACACACTAGTGCGAACGGACGAACGACCGAAAAACAAATTCTATATTCACACAGACTTTGAAAACAAATGAATCGAACTGTGCCGTAGAATTTTAGTGTCTCTAATTCCGTTTACAATAGCTTTTAGAAGATTTTCAGAAAAACGAAAAACGGATAGGTACAATATCATCAGCAATTTTTTTTTCTCCGAGATATGCCTTTTTAAAAACTAAATAAAAACAGCTACACTCTACTATACCTTATCCCGTGTCAGTTCTGGATAATTTTGTCTAGACCAGTGGTTCCGAAACTTATTTTGTAAATAAATATTTTTTTAGCGCCCCCATTAAAAACCATGATAACTTCAAATTAAATTAATTAATTATTGTGACCTATATATGTTTATTAACGGAGAATTCTAAACGATACTTTTACTATAAACCGCAACTCGAGACCTGCAGCGCCCACAATGGGGCGTTATCGCCCACTTTGGGAAAGACTGGTCTAGAAGTTTATTTATCTCAACAAGACACATAATGCTTATCATTATAGAGTTCACACATTCTCTTCATAAAAGGCCGCAATGACATTCGACCTACCTACACTTCGCTCAGTCCACCCCGCTAAGGTTCACAATTTTCATGGACATAATGATTCGTACGATTTTGTCAGTAAAAATTAATGTGACAAAAATTTCACTATTTATTATAAATTTTATATATTTTCTACATTACCTGAAATTTTCTGGTGATAAATAGCCGGGTAAAATTATGCGAATTTTATATTCGGTTTGTCCACTCTAGTTTGGTTTAATCTTTATTTTTTCGACACACGTTTTATATCATTCGGAAGTCATTTCGCTGTTAATGATTTAATAACTACATCAAACTTACGATTTGTTTATTTTTTATATATTTAATGACTTTAGTCAAGGTAACCCTTCTGGTGCAGGAAAACTTACTAATATTATAAATGCGGATGTTTGGATGGATGGATATTTGTTAGAAGGTATCTCCAGAACGGCAATGGATCTCACTGAAATTTGGCATAGATGAAGAACATAGTTTGCAAGAACACATAGGCTACTAATTACTTTTTCGGCGCGAAATCGTTCACAAAATTCTTTCTTATTTCTATTTTCTTATAAATGAAGGTTTATTTTTAATTATTTAGTAAAAATCTGTTTCCTTTTCAATTAATTTTTGTGTTTTAAAAGTTTTTAATTTATAATAATGTATCTTTTCACTTATAATTTTAATACTAAGATTTGTTTTGTTATAAATTCTGTTGTTATAGTATTTTAATAAAAGAGGTTTTATTTATGGTTGACCACTTCGCCAAATTATGAAAAAAAATATTTAGTAATATAATTTTCATATTACTTTTTAATCAATGACCTTCCAAGATTGAGAAGGAATAAAAAATATTCAAATAATTTAGTCTACGTAATTACTCTACTACAATAATATTAATAGGAAAAAGCAATGGTTAAAAGTGCACTTTATTAAACCATAGATTAACAAATATCTCTATAGGTATAAAACAAGTGTAACCTATTGCCGTATCTGCACTATCTAATCTATGAGGCACCTGTTAACAGCATTGTTTATTATGTGCGACCTTCAAGTACCAGAAATAGAAACGAACCCAGTATATTGAACACGCTGTATAACGGATTCCATTGGAATTCGGCGCTTTGTTACATGCACTGGATCTTTGTAAACCATATTACCACAGAACTATTAAGGCAATCAAAGAGTAAACAATTTGATCGAGATAGAAAAAATCAAAGATTAACAAATTTAAATTCGATCTTTGACTATTTTGCATATCCGTGAAGTTTTTAATCAACCTTTTTTAATCAACTTAATTTAAACTATCTAAAAATTAAAATATCGATCTAAAATATTATGTATTGTTGAGTTATACGTTAATTTTTAAATCGATCTAAATTATTGAATATTGATTTCGTCTGAAAAGGATATTATACTAATCTTTGACAATCTCAAAGATTAAAGGTCACTTTACTTCGTACTAATATTATAAATGCAAATTTAGAATCATTTGGCGCGAATGACGTGCTTTCGTTACAAAGTTCAGTATCAGAATGAATAGTGAGGGGACACAAACGTCGACACCCCAGCAAGACCAGTGTTGCGCCAGCACACCGGAACAGTGTCGGACCTTTTCCTAACAGTTAGAAGGTATCTTTAACGTCTTAACAGTACTAAGTGAAATTTGTAATAGAATCATCATCATTATCATCATCATCATCATCAGCTCACTATAAGTCCACACCGAGAGGTTCAGAATCTACCCTAAGTTTTAGGGTGATTAGGCCATAGTCAACCACGCTGGCGAAGTGCGTGTTGGTTGACTTCAAACATATCTTTGAATTTCTTCTTAGATATGTGCAGGTTGCATCACGATGTTTTCCTTCACCGTAAGTACGTCGGATAAATGTACATATGTAAATCGGAAATCAATAAAAAAAACACATTGGTACATGGCGGGATTCTAACCCTGGACCTGCAGATTGCAAGTCAAGTGCTTGACCCCTGAGCCACTGACGCTCTCTCTGTAATAGAATATTATATATAAAAATAATAAATTACTAATGAATTTAATAGTGAAAAGGCACATTAAGGAATGAATGAATTAAAACCATTCATTCAGTCTACAGACACGATCCATTCAGGGTCGAAGTATTTCCTGTTAGAAAACGAGCGAGTTATTTTCAAGATAAAAATGTTTCACGCCTCGAATGTTTTTATTACGATAATAAAATATTTAATCGCGACATGTATTTTGATATTTTAATCGTCTGTTGCGTTTTATACGTGTTCATAAAGATTCACATTACATGAAAATATAACTTTGGTTTACATTGCCCGCTTTGTTTTTTTTATTCGATATGTAAAGGCAAAGGAAATGGATCTATACAATGTTATAATAAATTCGATTGTTGTCAAAATGGCAATTTTTTTTTCTAATCATAAAAAATATTTTATTTTATTTTATTAATCTCATTAGTAAATATATGCATTTTATTAATAGTCTAAGGCCCTTCGTACACAAGGCATTGTAAATCTTCGAAAGCGATATAGCATTGAGTCGGAAGAGTCGCGTGGCTCGAGCTCCACATAAAGTTGAATGGTCGACGCGATTCGTCTATTCCAGTGGTTCCCAAACTTATTTTGTCTACTGCTCATTTTGACAATAAATATTTTTTAGCGCCCCCATATTTTCACATATTTAAAAACTATTATAACTTCAAATTAAATTAATTAATTATTGTGACCTACATATCTTTATTAACGGAGAATTCTAAACGAAACTTTCACTATAACCCGCAACTTGAGACCTGCAGCGCCCACAAGGGGGCGTTTTCGTCCACTTTGGGAAAGACTGGTCTATTCGGTCAGTACAGGTATAGCGACATAACAACTGAATAGATTTGCTCCGCCATTTTGAAAATCGCAGAGACTTTTCTCTCGATAATCTCGACAAACATGTTGTGTGTTACTGGTTTTAGCGACTAAAGAACAAAATGTCGACGACGCGTGTATATCTATATTATATTTCGTAAGTTGCTTACCAATAAAATTGACAGGTTTCTATGATTTAAGTTGTTTTGTGTACGAAGAGCTTAATTCTTTATTAAATAAATGAAAACTCTATAAATACTAAATGTTTTAAAGAATTATTCAAACTTTCGTGAGACATTATACTAAACTGATGAGTGAGCGACGGGCCGCGTCCGCGAAATAATACCAGTACCACTCATCTTTATGAAGGGCCCCCGATGGGCTCCAAACTAGTTTGTGCCGCTACCGGACGAATATACGTGAGTGTTTAGCTGTTTTTATATAAGTTTTGTTTTAAAGAAAATTATTATTCATCTAAAAATGTCATGAAGAGAATCGCTTAAGTAATCTGCGTGTTAGATATTACCATTGTAATAAAACATAAAAGCGACATCTGAACAAACATTATTAGACATTTTTCGCATATATACTAAACGTAAGTAACAAAGATCTATTTTCGTAGGTAGATTAAAAAGCTGGCTGATAAAAAAGCGCCCAGAAAAAAACATTCGGCCATTTTTTTTGCGTCGCTTAAAAGAAATATCGTATCAACATTTGTCATGCAAAAATATTTTTGCACATCATTGCCTAAATAATTCGTCGCCGGGCAAACGAATTACAAAGTTATTCTTACCGTCAAATCAAATTGAACAACTTTTCTTCTGTTATTATAGTCCTTAATACAATGTAATAGAGTTCAGTTTTGCTTTCGTATGAATTGTCTTACTTGACAAAACTTTTATAAACTTACCCTTGTTTGCATACAAAAGTCCGTCTCGTTACGGGTGCGAAGGTTTACTACGAATGTTTTCAAATAAACTTTTCCATTATTAAATAGAAAGAATTTTCTTAAAAACATAGATTTCTTC